ATTTCGCCTATGACGTCGCCCGTGTGTTTTTGTTTGTATTTATTAGCAGGCTTTCGAGCATCTATTGTATATCCTTGATGTCCAGCGTAAGGTCCGTGTACGAGTCCGCACTTTGTCCTCATGTAATTCAGCGCACCAATAGAACGACGAGATCCAACTCTCTTACTAATAGTTTCCACTACTCGTACAATGCAGTACATCTTTATTTATGTAGAGCATTCACAACAGCTGCCACTGTAACAAAGCGCTTTACAGAACATTCAACATAAAACAATACAATAGAACACATACCACTTTTGGCCAACGAGTAAGCAATTTAACCTTACTAGGAAACCACTGTACTACACCAACACCACTCGACCTAAGTAGTAGTTATGTGTCAAATACTACTTCAGCCTCGTGGACCCTACTAGTAGCATCAAAATTCTCTCTATTAGTTTTGCTTGACTAGCAACTAGTAATTCTCGTGCTAGTATATCTGCAAGTGTGCAGCAAAGTCGCTATTTTTTTCAATACCCTTGATTATCGTCTTAAGGCCTACATATGAATACATCTGTTGACAACTGTGCGCTACTAGTATTACGAGTGACATAAAATTGTATTCATCAAAAACTCGTCCTTCTGTAGTACTACTAGTTGCACACAGATTACAACTACTGCACTGTTTTGCCAAACGAGTATCGCGTGGCTGCTCCACAAATACATTATGCCCAAATTGTCCTAGTCGCGTGTAGAGATGTCACTAGTAACAGACAGTCATTCTGCTAGTGCTCTGAATTGTTTTATTGGTGAGGCCAAAGAGCATATTAGTCATGGACTTTAAAATGGATGTCAAGGATACTGATTAAATGGAAAATGGATGGATGGATGTTCCAGAAAATAGCAGTTAACAAGGTAGGCAATGCATAAATATTAAAACACTAATCTATTACATTGTCTGTCTAAATGTGCTGCTGAACCTTTTGTGTTCAGTACATTGCTTAAAGTGTTCTAGTTGTACAGTCGAGATGCTTTTTATCTTGAGCATTGAATTAGTGGCCTGATAACCTCAGCGATGTCGTTGTTTTAGTTTGACAGTAAATTTTAAACTGGTCATGACAAGAAGCAGGTTGAAGCATCCCTTTTGAAAGATTTTTTTCACTATTTGCCAAAATGCTGCTTATTGTGAATTGAGTTCACTTCCACCATACGGTGCTCGCAAGTCAAAACAAAAAAAAAAAATCTTCATAATGGTGACTCATGTCTCGAAAAAACTTGTCAGTCACTCGTATCGCAAGGCACCATTGTATAGACTGTTTGTGCCTTTTATTTCGTGATAAAATATGTGCGTTGGGCCAATGAAGGTTGGAAAACACTGCTGTAGAGTCCCGAGAATAGAATGTTGTTTCAGACACTCATCATGAGAAAACTTGCCAGGTATTCTTTCATCACAAGTCTCCTGTAAGGGCATCCCTTTTCTTTTCCCTGTGCACACCCCCAATCCAAGATGCACCCCCACCGTGTGCCCATTTGTCGGGTCGCGAATGGTTTTCCCTGAAGGATGTGAAGCACGTCCCTCATGTGGTACTTGTGCGCCTTTGCATACTGAGCAGTAAACACAGTGTGTCAGTGACCGGAGGCAGCGTCTTCATGTGATGAAATTTCAACACCAGTCCCGCAGTTCGGTTGTACGCGGGAGCTAAGGAGCGTCGTCGGCCTGAATGCAACTGCTTCTCATGGACGCGCAGCAACTGTCCCTGGTCAGCCTCCTCCACCTACTCCTTTCCCCCCCTCCATTCTGTCCCATGGTCATAATCCCTGCTGACACAAGGCTGAGGCTAAGTACCGGCATGGGCAGCAGAACCTCTCGTTTCTTCCGTCTCCAGCTCGGATCCTCAACAGACACTCCGGTTTTGCATATTCACAAGACGGCTTGAAACTGTATAACCGTTGTCTGTGGGAGACAAACCTCCCCGCCTCCTCAGACAGTTCATTCAAGGAGCGCGCGCCACACCACGGTGTATTTTTTTTTTTGTCGTCTCACGGGAAGCTTGTAGGAGCGCTGCTAACCTACGATGCGATAATATAGTACTATAGATGAACCCATTTAAGTCATATCTTAGAGATTTAAATGGCCCTGTCTAGCCCTCTCTTCTATTCCTTTTTTTTAGCTGCTATTTCTTTAAGGCGTGCCCCCTGAGGTCTCAGTTTGCAGTGGATGGTCAGCTCAGGCGGGCCTAAACAAACACGTTGCACAGCTACCACGAATTTCTAACATATCTCCAGTTTGAAACCTGGCGTGTAGTTCCATATTTGGAACTGGGCAACTGCGAGTTGCCTCCCTATCGGGGATTTTAACATCCTGTTGACAAAGGAATAATGCGAGTGAAATGTTCCGGTTTCGATTTTTATCGCCTTTTGGGGACAGACACTTGTGTTTTGCTTTTACTTTGCAGCATAGTTCTTTTGTTTCCAGCTCAGCATTGGGAGCAATATTTTGTGGACAATTAAATTTTTTTTCTAGTAGACAAGGCAGCTTATTATTAGCCACTTTCACTGATATGACAGTTTCACAGCTTCTTCTCGTTGGTAAGGTATCAATATAGGTGATGGCCTGAATTCTCTCAGCAAATATGCTACCTTCTGCGATAATATTGAAGGTGGAATAAAGGCTGAACGCAACCAGTGTGTAAATGAAGTCTGAAGTTTAAGACCAGACACTCACTGCCGCCGTCCCTTTGTGTTTAAAGCAATTGGATAATTATCTCAACACATGTATCCGCAGCGGCTGTATTAACACATAGTTCCCGTTTCCCGAATAAATCTCAGCTGTACTGTTCGGCCTCTGATGTGAAGACCGTGTGAAAGCGGCTCGAGATGCACCTGCTTCATAACACCGCAGAGCGTTATCAAGAAACACACCAGGGTCGGTGTAAACAAGCAAAGTGGCAAAATTGTGGTGTCACATTTCGAGTGGCGTTGCTCAAGGCCTTAGTCAAAAGTGCGATTGACACATACACTCCACGTGGACATTGCGCACATTAAAAGAGAATGCTCCATCTTTGTTGCTTTTTTTTTTTTTTTTTTAAATCAGGAAGATGAGCCGAAAGAAACGTGGTACCTCCTCCTTACGAACGTCTCTTCATACGAAATTTTCAAGTACGAAACACCTCAACAGGAAAATATTGCCTCTTGTTACAAAAGAAATTTCAAGATACGAAAGGTAAAAATACAGTATGGGCTGCTACTCGCAGCTCCGAGTTTCCTGAACGCAGCATACTTAGAGCTGCTCTGCCATTGGCTATTACCTAGCATCTTCCTGGTATCCCATTGGCTAAGAGGGACCTCTACCGTACGTGTTGATGTGTGTAGATAGATAGATATGTGTCGATGCAGCGTCCTCGTCATTCGCCCCTCGGGCCATGTGGCGTTCCGATAGTTTTATGTAAATGCGAATCGCCCAGAATAAGTGTTCACCAGTTGGGCGATCGCTCACGATGCTAATGTTTGCCTTGGAAATTTTCGAAGGATTGTTAAAAGCCGACAAAAGCAAACGTCCTTGGGTCAGTTCTTTACAAAACGCCAGGCAAAAACCACTTCTGAGAACGAACATGAACTAAAGAGGGCCAAAAACAACGAGGATGCAGTTAAAAGTTAAATGACCATCATTTTTATTCTTCACTCTATTCTTTGTTTTTTTTTTTACATTCTGCACAACTCTCATTTATTGGGCAATGATCGAACTGTAACATGTATTTTAATGCATTTTTGTGCTTGAGAAAACATTTAGGTCTGAATTTTGGGGCCTGGGGGCGCTTGGAACAAATTAGGGCATTTACATGGAAAATGTGTGTCAAATTGCAAAATTTTCTCGTTAAGAAATTTCTTCCAGAACCAATTAATTTCATAAGCAGCAGTACCACTGTACATAGACCCGCATTGAAAAATGCATCCCCCGGCAAAAAAAAAATTGCATAATATTGCAATCAAAGCGAGGGACCGCAAATGTTTTTTTTTTTTTTTTTTCTCCTTTCTTTCTACCATGTCACCTTGGGGGCACCTACCACTAAGACGGCTTGGGATAGCCTTCAGCATTTCTGCAACCCGAGTGAGGAAGGCTAAACAGTTCAGAAAATGGATGAATGAACATCGGATAGGTTATTTTTTATTTACCGCCGCTTCTTAGATTTGCTGCATTCCGTCACGTCACAGTGTGCAGATTCAACCTAGCTCAGGCGAAATCTGCGTTACAGCCAGAAAAAGAATACAACAGCGATACAGCAAGCGCACACATCTGAGATCTGGAAATCAATCCGTACGTCAGCCAAAGAGCCTATAAGGTGAAAAGTGCAAAAGTAAATTAAATATTTCTCGAATCGGCAATGTTATTTGTGTTTGGTTGCATTACTTGGCATCATAGAGTGCTCAGTGAATTTGAGTTTTGAGATCTACACAATTGCTGTTCTCAAAATAAAGTAAATTTTTATTTCTGGTATTCACTTTAGCTTTGCTAAAGGGCTATAGAAACCATTGAAAATGACTTGATTGAATTTTTTTACACTAAATTTATTTATATGCTGACCATGAAAGGTTACCATTCATACCGTTGCTATGCGCTTTAGGCCATCTCGCCCAGCCCTAACTTGTTTTTAAACTTCCTTCGACACTTCCTGTCATGTTCTAATCTTTTGGTTTTTCGGTTGAAGTTTGTACCAAATATGTACAAAATATGCATAAGGCCCAGCATGTGACTCAATGTTGACTTGGATACGAGAAAAAATGATCAAAAAGCTACTTTACGGTACCCTTTTAAATATTCCAAAGTTCTTCTCCTTGGGACACAATCTCTTTGTGTGACCGGCCCTTTTGATTTAATTTCATTACCTCACTCAAGCGAGCATTGCTTCTTTCATAGATAAGACATCAGCTTTAGCGATGTCCTTGAGCAACATCTGTCAGTGAGGGAGAGGAAAACAGAGGGCAAGGTTCACTTTCAAACCAAATACAAAGCATGTGCCTGAGAGGGTTCACTCCCCCATTAGTGAGATGACTGCCTGCCGCACGGCGCTCTCCTATACAGTCCTGTCCACTGTCCTACCCGGAATAAATGGCGTTGTCTCGGCACACTGGAATCCAGCTGCCTGACATGTTCAAAAGTGGCCTGAAGACCATTGGGAGTGAGTATTTGAATCCGTGATCATTTGTGCGCTTACGAGCATGCTTATCCTTGCGCCCGTTGTTCTGAAAGGTCGGTAGCGTTGACTGAAACTGGAGTTGCTTTTTAAAGTCTCTTTGCTGCGGCTCGTCGACTTTAATAACGTTGATGTACTGTTTGGACGTTTGGGCGCAGCTTGAAATGGGGGAATGTAGGGTCTTATTTTAGCCCTGTCACCCTTGTGAAGAAATGTTTTCTAATGCGTTATTTATTCAGGGCCTGTATTGATTTTTGTCGAAGTCCTCTGGCGACCAGGCGATTCTGACATCAACCGGTTCGAGCCGCTTTCTTTTTTTTTTTTCTTTTTAATGCACACATTGTTAAAAGTGTGCGGATTGCAAAGCGTTTTACCAGGCGTTGCGACCCGCTCCACCTTTTCACAACGGTGTCTGCGCACTTGTGTGTTTTTGGTGGTACATGTTTTCTTCTTGTTCAAGTGTTCAAAAGTGTTTACAAATTTTCAAAATGGTTGGGTTTTTTTTTTTGTGATTGAAAGATTCTAATTCTGATTTTTTTTTTGTATTATGTTCAACGAATACAACTAAAACAAATCTTAAGTTGTTCGGCTGTCATTTATTATTTTTTTCCCTGCTTTTTACTTATGTACAAAAACATTGCTTTGATTCCTTTTTTTTTGTCTTCTTTTAAAATTCATTCATTCATTCATTTTCTGATCCGCTGATCCTCATGAGGTTCGCAGGGGCTGCTGGAGCCTATCCCAGCTGTCTTCGGGCCGTAGGCGGGGGACACCCTGAACCGGTTGCCAGACAATCGCAGGGCACAAAGAGACGAACGACCATCCCCGCTCACACTCACACATAGGGACATTTTAGAGTGTTCGATCAGCCTGCCATACATGTTTTTAGAATGTAGGAGGAAACCGGAGTACCCGGAGAAAACCCACGCAGGCCCGGGGAGAACATGCAAACTACACACAGGGAGGCCGCAGCTGGAATTGAACCCGGTACCTCTGCACTGTGAGGTCGACACGCTAACCACTGGATCACTGGGCCACCTTCTTTTACAATTTTTTTATAATAACTGACCTGTATTGTCAAACACTGCCTCTTGCAAACAGTAAGTTCTTGTTACAGAAAATTCACTGCCAAGCTTTAGGTCCTGCGAAACTGGTATGCTAATTAAAATGACTATATATCAGCAAATATGGTCATGTTGGACCGCCCCAATAATAGGGTGTGACCAAGTCTGTGCTACCTGTGCAAAAGTTAATGTAGAGCCCTGTTCATCATACGATCCACTATTAGGATATCATGAGATAAAATGCACGCATAAGCAGGATCTTGCTCAACACACTCATAATTCAAGCAGGATCGAGTCAAATTAAAAAGCAACATTGTGATGAACTAAATGTATTCCAATTCCATTTATTTGCGGTTGCTTTGCTTTTTTTTTTTTTTAATTTGTGTACTGTCTCATAGTAGACTTCTATCTCATGCATTGATTTGCATTCCCTCGCTAAATGCTACTCAGTGACCGATTGTCACCGACGGCCGACACAGCTTTGCATACTGTGATTTATGGCTCATTCATTCAAATCATATCTAAAAAGCACATTGACACAAAAAAATCCCACAATCATGCACTGTGTTTTACTTCGTTTTGTTCCTGCATGTTATTATGGATGCATTGAGCGAGGTTCTGGATATGTGTGCATTTTATTTCATGAAACCGTGTCTGTGGATGGTATGATAAGCAATGACTTTTCAGCCATGTTGCTGGCTTGCTCAGATGTGAAAATCATGATTTTGATTGACGTTGATGTGAAGAGTCAAATGTTCTTCTCCCAAATCTGATTCTTTAAGAGTTCACGTGCTGATCAATTGTAGTTTTGTGTTTTCAAGATGTCCTTTTAATATAAATTAATTGTGGCCGAGTATCAAGTCATCCAAGAATTCTGCGTCCCTGGGAAAATGGCAGTCACTGGTATCTAGACTTGTCGCCCTAAATGTGGCGTGGCCACCACATAACTCCACCACTTCCAATCACCTTGTATTAAAAACAACGGCCCGAGTGTGTGGATAAAAGCCACATGCTTCACACAGGCGCGCATGTGATGCTGATTCATTTTCCATTTCGGAGCAGCTCACAGATTATTATCAGTGAACTCAGCCAGGCCTGCTTGTGTCAAGACTGACAAACACACCATATATCTTTTCGTTGCGTGCTGCACCGCTTTACGACCTTATAGAACACTCGACCGACCCTAAGCAGTAGCAGGGGGATACTTGAGTGTGTCATCTTTGCACTGATATGCTAACACAAAGCTTGTTTTAACAATTTCCAAAGTATAGCACGCACCAATAGAGAACTCAAGGCTTACTACTGCTACTATGCCCACTTGGCCATTTATTTTTGACCGATCATTGAACAGCCATGAATGAACATCTTGCTCTGTGTGTGTCTCTTCATCCCATTGTGGGTTTTTTCAGGGTACTCTAGTTTCCTCCCACATTCCAAAAACACGCAGGGTAAGTTAATTGAACGCACAGAATTGTCCCTCGGTGTCATTGTGAGAGCAAATGGTTGTTTGTCTTTGTGTGCCCTGCAATTGGCCGGCAACCCGTTCAGGGTGTCCCTCGCCTGCTATCCGAAGACGGCTGGGATGAGGCTCCAGCGTACCTGTGACCCTCGTGAGGATAAGTAGATCAAATTATGGATGGATGAATAGTTTCTCAACTTTTCAAATCAATGGTTGATGCGAATCGCTTGGTGGTAAGTCGTTAATTAGTTTTACATTGATTGGGTTCATTGGCAATTTAACACCACAGCCACTATACAAAATAAAGAGAGTGAGTTTAATTTCTCAATCCCTCAATGTCCCTGTAAAGCGAAAATAAATGGGCCTTTCAATTTGACACACCACGATGAAGAATGTTTAACTTTACGTCGGCTTCTCGGTCCCAAGGACCGCAACGATATTGTCCGACATGGTAACATTGGAAACACGCAGCCATAAATAAATGCTGAGATGGCCGTCGCATTAAACTAGCAGGACTAGAGTTTGTTTGGCCATATGTGTTTACGTTGTGGACGAGCACCTGTCTTCCGCTTGTTGTTTGTGTGTGGACGGGGTTGACGTTGTCCTTACCGGTTGAAGCGTGGCCGACAGGCGCCAGTCCATCTGTTGTTGAGGGCTGAGATCTTTAATCCTTCACCTCTTCTGAACTTGCTGGCAGCAACTTTTTTTTGTTTTTAAATCAAGATCAAGCTTGCCTTCAATCACGTGCGGAACACCTGAAATCGTTCATCGGCTACCCCAACGTTTTTTTTTTTTTTTTTGAAACAAAAACAAAGGGACCTTCAAAGTCAAGCACGGTTTCCTGATCTACTTGCAATTTCTTCTAAATGTGTTGAATGAGTCAATCGCTCAACTAATAATGAATGCAATTTTCATTGCTCATTTATGGTGGACCAATTTTTTTTTTTTTTTCTCCTGAAGGCGAGTTGGTTTTGAACATAACTTGAACCGTGTGTCGATTCCATTGCTGCTACCACAAAAAAAACAACAAAAAACAAAACCCAACAATGTGGTGTGAATTTCTTAGTTGCTTACGGGAAACGCTTAAGTGTTGTCATGATGCAACACGTGATGAGAAATATTTTGGGAGTTCACTGATCCCAATTCAACTATCTGAAAGCTGTCATGTTTCCGGTAAATGGGCTACATTTCAACATAATGTTTTCATTCTCTATCCACACTACTTTTTGAAAATGCTGAAAAAGTGACTATGGAAACGTATTTATAACTTGTTACTATATTTGCCTTGCAAAAAGGGCTCACCGACTCTGTTTCTGCGCAGGGAATTATTTTTGTCTCCGTCATCCTGTCACCTTGAAAGCTAAATTGAGCCTGCTGTTTCCTTTTAGAAGGCATGAGCGCTGAGAGGGAGGGCTTTTGACTTGAGCCTCGTTGTCAGTATTTCAAAAAAAATAAAAAAAAACTTCACAGGAAAAAAAATGTGTTAGATTTCTTTTTCAAATTCAGTCAGGTGTCTCTTTTTGCTATTTCCTGTTGTTTAGAGGATGTCACGCATGCAATGACCAGCAGTTATCTCCTAGTTTGAAATGGACTCTCTCATAAAAGGGCTAGCGGTGTAACAATTAATCGACCATTAATTGATGAAGTTAATCGATCGGTATTTTTGAGAATAACTGATCGATAATCAGAATAACTGAAATTCCTTTGAATTTCAATTATTGTTGTTATACAGCGCAAAAAAAAAAAAAAAACATGTTTGGGGAAGATTTGCTTGCCATCGCTGATTGAAAAATGTCCTGAAAATTTTAACCGTTTTAACCAGTGTAATCGTTAGTTGCAGCCGTGGACGAAACAGTAACATATTTTTGTACGATGCCATGCAGAGCAAAAATAGCATTTGTATCTTATTTGTTCTTGAGATCTGTCGATTTTGGCCCAGAACTTGTTGTGTGGGAGTTCTCGCTTAAATCTAGCTTGCCTTTGACTTGTCTGTGCCAGTCCCAGCCAGTTTATCTTTTTATGTGCATGGCCACTTTTCTTCCTCTGCACATGCTCACAATGACCAAATAGAGAGTGGGTGGCCTGTTTGAAGGGTGGGAGGGGGAGGCGAGAAGGGATTTATTTATTTATTTATTTAGGTAAGATTTTCAAGAAAAAACAAATCTGGATACACGATGGACGTTTAAAACAAGTGATGGTGTCCATTGTGATGGTGAGACGAGAGAAGCTTGACACAATCAAAATTTTTGGGACTCATCTCCGATCAAAAAACCCCCACCGAAAACCGATCATCGATCTGATCACACGATGCAGCAATATGTCTATTGAAATAACTTGTTTATTTACTGTATGCTATTTATTTAAAAGAGGACACTGTATATTCATGAACAATGACAGATTATCGCTGTTGGCTACTTTCCATCTGTCGTCCCTTGTCATGTTGTAACAGTTGAAGTATACTCGTGTGCGGTTTACTGAGCATCAGCAGAAGTATTGTCAAGCACTTTTGTTCACCGATCTTTGAAATGTCCCAAGAAAGGAAAAGAGGGCGGGGAAAAGTGTGATTTGTATATCAAACATTTATTCATGAGCGAACAAGCTGAACTTGATTTTTTTTTTTTTTTGGTCACACTGGTCACGCTTTCAAAACATTCATTCGACAATTATAAGTAAATACTTGAGTTGGAGCCTTTTCAAAATTATTTCGAATGAATAACTCTCACATGTCAGGATGAAGTGACGTGGCACGCTGAAATTGTAGAGCAGTCTTATACTGTATTGATGGACACGGGGTGTTGGCGTATCTATCTTTGAAGGACAGTGAGAGTGTTCTGAAGTGAGGTTGTCACATTAAGTGACCGCTGCATATATATATATATATATATATATATATATATATATATCATCTCAATTGTTTACAGAGATGATTTAAATAACTTTAAAACGGTGTAATTGTAAACTCTCGCGATTGCGTGTCGTCTTCATCGGTGTGAGATGACGTTGTGGGGGTGACTGGACTATTGTTTCCAGTGCAAGACGTGGCTGTGTTGTCTTGTTCCCTCTGAGTTAACAGAGTTCTGCTCTTGAAATATGCGTTGTAGGGAGGGCGGGGGGCAATCACTCCCCCGCGCTTGTGGTGGGTTTGCTTCCCGTAAATGTCTTTTTGCAGCGTAATCCAAAACTCAGAAGACCCCGATGACTGTACGTAGGCTTTGCTCGCCATGGAGTGGTGTTTCCGAGCCTCAACATATACACAAAGACAACAGAAAACAGCACCTCGTGTGCTCCTGACAGTGACGAGACGGAGGCCTACTGGAGTGGCGAAGGGGGATAGATACTGTTTGAGCTGTTGCTCGATTCCCGAACTTGAAATGCACGGTTGATACGAAAGTCATTCGAGACACTGTGTTTCCAGGAATGTAGCACAAATCTTCTGAATCTGCATTAACATGCAACTTTGATGTCAATTAGCTGACTGAGTGTGCAAGTGTGCGTGTGAGATCGATTGATCACAAGGACCGGTACAACTTGCAGTCTCTTCGATTTAAAATAAATAAATAAATAAATAAAACAATGAGTCAATTTATTAGCTTGAACTGTGATTTCTTTCATTCAATAGATTATTTGTCATATCCCAAGAGACGGACGGTGTGATGCAGCGTAGAATGTACGTCTCTGTGTCCTGTGTGATCAATAGACCTCATGAGTCATCCCCTGACGTGACTTTGAGAAGATTTCAGTCTATACTTCAGCTTTGGTTTCTCCCATAATTGCTTCCGCTTGCCCGTTGACATTATTCCAAATGAAACAAGCTATCAGTCAATAGTGCCACTGTGGGAGTCCTTTGTGGTCTATAAATATCAAGTAGAAATAGCGGACAGCGTTACTGCCTGTTCATGTTGGTTTTGCTTTTCTGGTTTGTCACTAAAAAATAGAACATTAATTTCTTGCTGAATAGTATGCCAAAGGGCTTTGTTGTTTGGATTGGTTTTTTTTTTGTTTTTTTTCCTGTTTTGTGTGCGTGTGTGGTGAGGTTGTGATGAGCAAGACGCAACAGTCATGCACCTCCATTCTACCTTCTCTAGAATTAAGCAATCACAAGTCTTGAATAAGACAAACCCACAGAAATTTACATCAATGGCCGTTTCTCCCTGAGTCGCTGTCACACCATCTAGTCCATGGGTGTCAAACATACGGCCCCTCGGCCCGGAACGGCCCCCCAAGGAGGTTCGATCAGGCCCTCAGGATAATTTAAAAGTGAAAAAATGCATAAAAGACACAGAATGAATAGTTTTAATAAGGGGCAATTCATGGAGGATCCGCTAGGGGCACACTGTTTTGGTCAGAGTAGAAGACAACATTGTTTTGATCAGAGAAGAAGACAACAGCGGGCCTCCGTCTGTCACTGAGACAGACCCAACACAGCAGACGCTATCAAGGACATGTGAATACTTTCTTTACATATTTAATAACACTCTCCTTAGTTTGTAAGGTGTAGGCAGGGATTACATTTGGATTTTATATGCACATGTTTCTTTACAAATCTCGTTTAATCTTAAAATGCATGACTCTGTTTTTCAATACCAATTACTTGTTAAAGTTTTGTGCCTTTGTACAACCAGTGGGATCAGTATTGTTTTGGTTATTTATAGCAAAGGACAGTATAATTTTAATGGTCCGGCCCACTTGACATCTACCGAGGCCGTACGTGGCCCACAATGTGAAATGAGTTTGACACCCCTGATCTAGTCAAACAAACTTGAGTTAAATTTGCACAACAGAAGTGGTGTGGAGCTCTATGGATTTGGAAAGCCATCGCGTTTTATGGCTGAAATAAACTATGCTTTTTTTTTTTTTTTTTCATCTTTCAGTTACCCCTGATCTGCTCCTGGAACCCACCCTGGTACCTTCCCTCCCTGCACTCTCATCAGCGCGGGCCAGCGGGAAGGTCCGGAGGTGCAGCGGAAGCGACAGCGCTGCCAAGCGTCCGCCTTTGAGCGCAGCCCCGAGGCCGGGCCACGGTAGAGGCAGCATGGAGGTGGGCATGCGGGTAGTTCGTGGCACGGATTGGAAATGGGGAAACCAGGATGATGGCGAGGGCCACGTGGGGACCGTGGTGGAGATTGGGCGGCAGGGCAGCACCACCACCCCAGACAAGACGGTGGTCGTTCAGTGGGACAGCGGCACAAGGACCAACTACCGCACTGGTTACCAGTCGGCCTACGACTTGCTGCTGTATGACAACGCTCAAATCGGTAAGCGCTTTTCGACTTCAGAAATGGCACAGAGGAAGATGGCTGACCCCTGACCTTTTGGACTGCGAGGCAAACGTGCTAGCTACAAGAATGCTTAAAAACAAAATGAAATGCAATTTGTGATATGACCCCATTTAAGATTCTACCGACATAGTTACTAATCCTTTTATTTGTCACCCTGGAGCAGATACTTTTACTTAACGTTCTGAAATCTGACGGTGACCAGCATCCTGAGATTAAAAATGGCGTCCATGTTACTTTCTTCAGAACCAACTATTGTCCACCCTCATCAAAAACTACTCAAAGGGCCTTTTTCTTTTCTGTTGCTCACCCATCTTCCTTTTCATGCGCGCGCAGTGGCTCGATCATTGCGTTAACGTAATGCATTTTGAGTGCGCGTGTTCACTCGCTAAATGACAGCCGCTTTATTCATATCATTAGCGTTTTGCTCCGTTCCTCTCTGACAAACGTTGCCATGAGACGGGCGGAAGAGCCGAGCAGTGTGACTCGTCTGTTTGTGCATCAATCACCTAATTCCGCCTTACTGAATTTACGCCTTCCTCCGCCACAGGCGTGCGTCACTCCAATATCATCTGCGACAGCTGCAAGAAGCATGGCATCATGGGAATGCGATGGAAGTGCAAAGTGTGCTTTGACTATGACCTGTGCACACATTGCTACATGAACAACAAACATGACCTGAGCCACTCGTTTGAGCGTTATGAGACGGCGCATTCTCAGCCGTAAGTATTCCGCTCCGCGCTTCTCCAGGATCGTTCATCACCTTTCGTTTACTCGGTCGTCACTGTGCTGTTGGACCAGCCTCCCCTGATTGAGTCAGAGGGGTTACGTGTAGAACTTAAATGACCGACAGTCTGCTTTGTCCTTTTCTGTATGGATGAGTGCTCTCCATTTACCTGCCAGTTATGCTATTCGTCGCTGATTTTTATTTTTTATTTTTTGGTCAGCCGGATGACACAAAGAGTTTCCTACTAATCTTGTGCATACGAGTAACGTATCCAAATAATTAATACCAGTGAAATAATACCGAAATCAAATTTGAAAAAAAAAAACAAACAAAATCAAAACGACAATGAAAGCACAGACGGTACATTTGAACCTAATAGATTTCATCCAGCCATCCATTTTCCGATCCGCTTTATCCTCACAAGGGTCGCGGGGAGTGCTGGAGCCTATCCCAGCTGTCTTCGCGCAATAGGCGAGAAACACCCTGAACCGGACAGGGCAGGCAGAGACGAACAACCATCCGCCCGGGTACTCACACCTAGGGACAATTTTGAGTGTTCAATCAGCCTGCCATGGAATGTGGAAGGAAACCGGAGTACCCGTGGAAAATCCACGCAGGCCTGTGGAGAACATGCAACCCCCATACAGGAAGGCCGGAGCCAGGATCGAACCCACGACCTCTGCACTGTGAGGTCGACGGGCCACTGGACCACCCGGCCGCCCGAATAGATTTCATTCAAAAGGAAACCAATGACTGATAGCTTCCGGCGAAGTAACGGCAATGTTACTTATATTTCAGCCTAAACAAGGGAATTCATTCCATATCTTTATTATTGTGTCATTGTGTGCAGTCACTGCCCGGCGTGGATACTCAGGCAGCTGTTTACCTCCAACACAGCGCTAAACGCGGTGACAACTGTTTATACATTCAGGTCACACAACTTGTGCACTCAACATATTTTCAAGGTCTTTTGCATTGCACAGACAATATATATTTTTAGATTTATATTTCCAAAGTGTAGTGTACACTCGGATATTAACCCTTTCATGCACCCTGTAACCTGATAACATGATAAGATGTCCACTGCAGTAATTGCTGTCCCTGAAAGGGTTATAAATTCCAATTATGATGTTCAGTGGGACGTTTTTCGGAAACCCTCATCGGTATAATGTCATCATTATCGCAAGACTACTGGAATGTGAGCCAAGTGCCGATGTTTTTGCATGTTCGATTTAGCTCAGGCAAAACAACGAGACCCGCCGCCTGCCCATAAACGATTAGTGAGCTGATTCCAAGCCCCCCCCCCCCCCCCCCATGCCTGTCAGTTTGTACATAGTGTCAATAACAAATAGCACAAATCATAATAGTTTGTCACTTCAACTTGATATGTTCATAAGGTCTCCTTGTTTTTATTTTCTCATGTTTAAATTAGAGCATTTTGTTGTTTGTCCCCCCCACGGACCTGTTTGTCTATAATTTGTTATTTGCGTTATCTAAATTGAAAATCTAAATGAAGTACTTAAAAAAAAAAAACAGCAAAATGGCATAGAGATCAGTGAAATTGAACAATTCTGCATTAATGCAGTTGATGATGCTTGGATGGTATCTTGCCTTTTTTTTGACCGGTGGTCAGATAAATTTAAGCAATGTACCTGTAGGCTTTCTCTTGCACAACCTTGTATGTACAAAGCAGTGACGCTTTTTTTCCCTCCTCTCCTGTCAAATACTACCGCGATGACAGAAATCTAGTTCTTGCCTACTACCTGTTATATAATAGTTTGACATCACTTGGAGTTTGGTGGAACAGAGATTGATTTTTCTCAGAAGTCAATAGGAATGTTTTTTTTGTTTGTTTTGTTTTTTTCTCGGCAGTGCCCTTTTGTGTTTGTGGAGTGTTACTTTATCCTCCCTGCTAAGTCAATACAGACCTGTGTTTTCACAATGTGAAGAAATTATATATTGTTTCGCAGATTTGGCTTTTTTTTTCAAGCCTAGCAACATCAATAATAATAATTATAATAATTTAAGATTTTTCAACAGCATGCATTTCTCAAATGAACTATTGCTGTTGGTTTAAGGGGAAGATTCTTATTAAATTTTGTCTGAGATGCAACACTTGTTGCTCTGCTTCTGCTTTTGTTGTAATTCTGCCAGGGGATCACATGAAAACCTCTTTTTGTTCTCATCAGACGATTGGAAGAGAGAAAGTTCTGTACTGTGTGATGTGCAGGGTTTTCATTTCAACTTTTTTCTTTTTTAGTTTTTCAGACTGAATTTTCCCTGGAGCCTGCCTTAATGGCTCAGTCATGGGACCCAGAGTTTTCTTCTTGGAATAGCCCTTCCAAGCCTGGATTCAGTGGCGCTCCTTGTTGTACTTCCTTTTAACTCCACTGCTATGCTCTGGGTCAAGTAGTTCCATTTGAAGTTCATTTCACGCTTCTGTGATGGAATGGAATTGTTACCAACAACGCCTCGAGACAATATTATCTCCATTAGAACCTCACGATATGATAATTATCAAGATTTATGGTACTGTATAAAAACTCAAGGAAAAAAAACTCGTATTGAAAAAAAACAAGCACAATGTTGTGTTTTTGTACATAACAGCAGTGACAAAGAAATGGGATTGGCCAGTCATTTTATTGTCAATTACTCTTATTGGCTCAGCGGTGCAAACTATCCTGGTCTATGGAATTCACCATGCTGTGTTCGGTGAATAACTCTTAGTTATTGAGGCACTTAGGTGCTACTGCACAGATTGTCAATCAAGTCAATTGGTGGAGTGGCTCAGACATGTTAGATTCGCCTTTATCTGGCGATTAGCGTGGGTCCTCATCAGAGGTGGCCAAAACACGCCTAATTCAAATTAAACTATGCTCATAAACAAACCACGACAGGGTGCTGGAACTGCACAAATTGAAAATAACCTGGATCTTAAACAGATGTTGTTCTTTTAATTTTGTGGCAAGCTGACAACAATATTGTGGCAATTCTAATCTTGTGATATCACATTATTGCTATTATTGTCACCTCACTACGAGTTAGACTCTCAGGCAAGATGAATTATTATGAATTATTAATCACATATTTTGGTTCGGGATGTCTCTAAAATGTGAATGCTAAAAGGTTGTTGAGTAAAATCTTTTTTTTTTTTTTTTTAAATTGTAGTCAGTGTGCCTCATGGTATGTGCGTGCTTACACCTGCTGACGGTGCTCGAGAGAGCATATGTGTGTGCCATATGTTTATGAGATGGGCGCTATGCAGTTAGCTAATCGGCTCTTGCACCCAAACAACCCACACGCAGCATCTGGGAACTTATCTGGGCATGTCGCTGCTTAATCCTGCTCTTGCATATCAAGCCGCACCGCTTCACCTGGTCTCTTCTGTGCTCCACCCACTATCACGTTCAAAACTCATCCAGCTGTCAGCATGTAAAGGTTGTAGCCGTTCTACGGGTCCACTCTACAAAAATCCCTTACAGAGTAAATATATAGCTACAATATGCCAGTTATAATGAATGAAGTTTTGAGGGGATTAAGTCGTCGCCGTCCCCCGCAAAAGTTTATTTTTGTGGTTTTCTATTGAACCGCTACGTTCTGATATTCAACATAATACTGCAGGACTGATATTTGTCAGTCACTTTGTGTTTTGCAACCCACCAGCTGCCATGACGCTTGCGTGCTCCTCTGCTCGCTTCCCAAAGGTAAACCTTGGCTGACTTCTCGACCGGGGCCAGTAGTTGTAGCTCTACTGCTGCAATCCCGTCTGGTCAGAAAGGTGACATTTGGTCTTTCTGGATTAGAAATCTTGATCCCTTAATAGAGCTGTTGTCTTTCTCGGAATGTCTGTTTGGATAATGCCGGAGACTGCCAATCTCTTTGCTTTCTTATTGTCGTGTCATCAGGTCATTGGCAACGCGAGCATTATAATAGCACTTTATTAACTCATTCACTCCCAAAGACGTTTTTAAACATCTTTTCAGACTTGGTCCAGAATTGGCGGGTACTGAATGAGTTAAGCCAATGTGCTATTATTTTGCCCCTCTGTGCCTAAGATAAATCATATATGATGTACAGCAGAGGTGCCCAACCTTTTTTGACCGAAGATCTACTTTTTGATCAACCAACCTCCCACGATCGACCCCCCCCCGTTACCGCACACGCACGCACTGAAACATGCCCGCCATGATGAGCAGCAGCCATAATGATGCCTAAGATGAACAAAACAGAAAAATTGTCTGCTCGTTATTGAGAAAAACATGCCAAACTTAAAAATGAAAATGTCTCGAAAACCTAATGTACTAGGAATAAACAAAATAAACAATGTCAAACATACATAAAGGGACACATGAAGCCATCTCTGACTAAAATTTGTGGTTGACCAGTGCTATTTAACATAGCCCTCTCTCTCTGGTGCACCACCGACATTTCACACGTCCGACCGGTTTGTGTAAAGTTCATTCATCTTTAAAAAAAAAAAAAAAATTGTGTCATTCCTTGCCATGTATCCTCAAATTATTCAGTAATGATGAATTTTCCTCAACCAGTGAGCAGTGGTTTGTCTCACTGACATCAGCTCAGCATGCTCGGGGTTCTGGCTGACCAGGTACAAGAAAAGTGGAAAAGCACTCATAGCCGCTGGTTATTGTAAAGTGCAAAAGCATGACAGTTGTGAATGTTGGCGTGACCTGGGTCATGGTGAAGGAACTCAACGGGATTCAACAAAGACATGTGACGTCGGGATGCCTGGTGTTGAACTTGGCTCCACTTAAGCGTTTAAGGCAGCACCAATGCTTTGCCCTGAGCTTGCTTGCTCTCTTAAAGCTCTGCTTTCAAGGATTAGCCTCCAAGCATCTATCTTCAAAAGCACACTATTCCCCAGCACGGCTCTGTCCGAGCTCGCGCCGTTTGCCGCCTCCTTCTGCTGGAGACTGTCGGAAACTGGACAAGTCTGTCCAGAGAGTGAATTAAATTCAAGCTTGACGTTTTAATGCGAAGCTAGATAAAGCCTTCGAGTGAGATTTATGGCCTTCACTGACATTTATTGACGGCATTCACTGGACTCTGTTTGTTTGTTTTTTCAATATGAACCGTTCGGCGATGTTATCCGGCTGAAATGAGCGTTGGCGTTTGATCTTTTCAAGAAAGTATGGGAATAGGCAGTTCCTTTGCACCAAGATCTGATCAAATCTTTACCATAAGGTATGTTTGCTTCTAACTGTCTTCAGTCTCTTTGCATTTAGATTTAGAGTAGAGGGTGTAGTTTGTGCTGCTCGCAGGAGCCTGTTTTTTATACCATAAAATCTTTGGCTGTGAGTGTCATTTTAGAGGCGGTATCCTGAGTTAATATTGTGTCAAAACTGATTCATGCAAATGGCTTTACCTCAGGACAGGTGTGTCAAACTCACGGCTGACGGGGCAGCAGGATATTTTGCGGCCCCTTGACATCAAAGTTTAACGTTGGTGCGGTCTGCCACCTTTTTTTGGTGTGTTATTCGCCAGGCCATTGTTATTATTTTTATCATCTATGGGCGACCATAGCTCAAGCTCATTACAGCTTTCGGCAAAATGTAATTCTGAAGTGGCACAAAGTGGAAGGAAAAGATAACCTGTCACCCAGTCATGTCTTTTTCAAAGCCTGTGAAGTGAAGAAAATTGCATTTTGGTGGGGTGAGGGGCGCCCCGACGTTTCGTGACTTTTCAGCGTAAAGTTGTTCTGCTCAAAAATTATCACGTCATTAGTCAACTAGACATGCTGAGAAGTATGACCCGGTCACCAATTTTGCTCACTTTCTGCACAACTGTTAAAAAACTGAACTGTTCTTCATAAAGATTGAGAAGACGGGATTAGTTCGACTTGTTTGAGTTCTGTACTTACCGACTCTACTCGGTTCAGGCGGTCACAACTTTACATAGGTCCCTTTTTGTCCTGTTACATATCACGTAATTATGTAATGCATAAATATCCTCTGTATGAATCAATTCATTATAGAGGAGCTCCACTTATTTGGCTTGCGGCGTGTTTCTAAGAGAGGACATTGTGTTTTGTTAGCACTGTCTGTGTTCTAGGACAAAGCGCTATGCTTTCAAAGAGTTTCCTAAGCTGTCTCTACATGTTTCTGTCACAGAGTAAGCTTGGCACCGAGGCAGAACCTCCCACGGTTCATCCTCAAAGGAATCTTTCAGGGGGTTAAGGTGGTTCGTGGACCTGACTGGGACTGGGGCAACCAAGACGGTGAGTGGGTTGTGACGGGGTCGCCGCTCTTGCCCCCTGAACTTGAATTGCTGATTGGACTGCCGTGCCGCGGCATCTTGCCTGGGGATCCGTGCCTTTTCAAAGTGTTTTTATTCATCCAAAGCTCCTTGAGCCTAACCTCACATCATGTTAACATGTCTGCATGTGCCCGTTTTGCCTTTCACCATTTCCATTTCGTTGTCCCTATTCTTCACTACAGATTTTTACTAACGCAAAAATGAAATGCTACTTTGAGGCAAATGTGAAACGTATACACTGTGTTTATTCCTGGTTCCGTTGTCCCTGAACATAGCTATGCTCTCCATTTCTGGGCTGGAGCGAATGAGTCAAAATGTCCTTTTAGTGGCTTTGAGATCAAGACCTGGGGGTTATGCGAAGGCACTCATCTGGTCTAGATGCTCTATGTGGTATGTGCGTACAGGAGTCTCTGAGCATGCTCAATCACCTCCAGCCCGCCATGTAGCCTTTCATGTCACTGGTTTATCTGGTGCGTTTGGGCACCGAGGAAATACGCACTCGTGCTTTGTCACTTCCACGCCGCACTGAGAAATTGAACTATTTTCGTCACACACTTGTGTCGGCCTTAGACCGTCGTGACCTCACCACCTTCTATTTTCACCGGCATGATTACGTCTGCTGTAATCTAATTTCTTCCCTTTCTTCACGCCTCGTGTAACACCGTGACGTCTCTCCGTCTTCAAAGACCTCTCTCTTGATCTCCTGTTTACCAACACTCTGATTATCTCTTGCCAATTTGTTTACGTGTGTGTAGGCGGGGAGGGTAAGGTTGGGAAGGTAGTGGACATTCGTGGCTGGGATACGGAGTCTGGTCGCAGTGTGGCTAGCGTGACCTGGACTAATGGCACCACCAATGTCTATCGAATGGGGCATAAAGGCAAAGTGGACCTCAAATATGTGTCTGACGGCCAAGGAGGTTTCTACTACAAAGACCACTTGCCGGTACTTGGTAAGACAGATTCTTCTACTAATCGCACATTATGTAAAGTAACTTCAGCTCATCAGTAGTTTTGCGATTGGGATGGGAAAAAAAAAAAAAATCATCTCTACTTGTTGGTCCATCCAGGAGAGCATGCGGAGCTGCAGCGCCAGGAGAGTGCTGATGGCCACTCTTTCCAGCAGGGTGACAAAGTCAAATGTCTCTTGGAGGTGGACATTCTGCGGCAGATGCAGGAGGGCCACGGGGGTTGGAATCCCAAAATGGCGGAGGTATTTTAATACTGTCCTCTATCAATAGTCATCCAACTGGAGTGTTGTATTTTTCAATCCAGAAGACTTGGATCCATTATATTGTCATTAACACATTGTACCGATGGGCATGATCAATGAATATTGATTATTTTAATTAAGAATTTTGTTGATCACACACTCATTGTATTGCATTGCATAGTGTAGTTCAGTGGTTCTTAACCTTGTTAGAGGTACCGAACCCAACCAGTTCATATGCACATTCACGGAACACTTCATTAGTGAAAAATAAGTTTGTTTTTTTTTTTTTTTTTTTTTTACAAATTCAAGACATAAAAAAACTGAAAAAAGTAAACGAAATAGTAATTATAAGTATAAAGTACACGTTTTTTAATTGTGCGCAAAATGCACCAGCCAGTGATGGCCAAACGGGCGTCATAACTGAAACGTTGAGTCGGGTGTGTCTTAACCTCCATGGCCGCAGCTCTGTCGAACCCCTGAGACTGATTCACCGAACCCCTAGGGTTGGATTGAACCCCGGTGAAGAACCACTGGTGTAGTTACTACAGCTGCATCTCATACAAAGAAAAGGAGCCGAAAGAGATTTTCTATTAAACGGCAACCAGCGGGGTCCGGAGTAAAAATCAAAGAAAGAGAGCAGGTCTACTTTACTACTATCGTACATTGAGATATCAAGTACGGTAACACTGACGGTCACGGCTGGAATAGTTTAATTTGTATCATGTTTTTGCATTTGAAATAAGCCTGAGCATAATAGTCGGCGCATTGAGTGAGAATTCTGAAGATCATTTGGGTTGATTGTTGGTTAATTGTGGCCTTCGGCGATTAAGGCAAAAATGTAAATGACTTTGCAGTGGCACCCAGTCGAGGTTGATTTACTCTCAGCTCGATTGCTTGTTTTAAGAAGAACATGGCCGCGTTGTGCTACACAACACTTCGGATGAACTCCTCCACGCGGCATTATTCTGCCAAGTACGGCACTGACTTTGAAACAGGAGTCAAAGATATTAAGAGAGGGATTCTCCCATATCACTTTCATTTCAGACCCTTTCTTTACCTTAAATCTTTGGGGTTAAAAAAAAAAAAGGACAAAAATATACGAATAAGTGCCTGGGATTCAATGTGTGGAATCTGAAAAGATATATAAATCTTGTCTTTGGCACTGAATGAGTAAGAAAAATAAAATGCTAGCATACAATAATGCCGGTGGCTCAGATGGACTTTGGTGTTTGCCGTAGTGATAGAAAACAACAGTGTTAGCGCTTGAGGTCCTTGCTACCAAAGGGAACATTTAGGTCAAAGCAATGTAGAGAGAGACCGAGGGCCAAACAGCCTCTGTGTGTTTGCAGTACATTTGCCGGATCGGGACAGTTCATAGAATCACTGACCGGGGGGATGTCAGAGTCCAGTACAGCAACAACATCCGCTGGACTTTTCATCCGGGGGCCCTTACCAAGGTACTCGCTTACAGTTTCATCTTGCGGAAAATTCCAATTTTAATCCAAACAGTTTGCGAGCCTGTATATTTTATCGTCTGAAAACTGATGCTTCCAAATATATATATATATATTTTTTAATTCTCCTAGGTGAACACGTTCGGGGTTGGGGAACTGGTGCGAGTATTGGAGGACATAGATAGTGTCAAGAGGCTGCAGGCCGGCCACGGCGAATGGACAGACAGCATGGCTCCCGTACGCTCCTGCTCAGGCTACACCAGCATTCATTATTACACTAGTCAAATGACCCGGAATGTCTTGATATTCTCTAAAAGACTGTGAGAGCACAGGGGCATGATATGAGATCAGTGTCTATCAAGCCTTGCTTATCCGCCTAACTTACGATGTTTCCGCCAGGTGGTCGGCCAGGTCGGTAAGGTGCTGAAAGTATATGCGGATGGTGACCTCCGTGTGGCGTTTGGAGGCCAGACTTGGACGTTCAACCCGGCGTGTCTTTCGGCTCAGCCCCTGGAGATGGACGCCAACCTCATGACGGCCGAGAACCCCAACGAATCTGGAAGTATGGCCTCTGTCAGGATCAAGGGGCCGATCTCAAACGCTCGACGTTTGCGCATTCATCTTCCCATGTTGTCCTCCCAAGTGCTCGGTGGCTACTGTGAATGGACGCATTCATGTATTTGCAGCATTCATTCTGTCTCCTTCTCATTTGTCTTCTTGGGGTTTCTTACTCGGAATAAGTTTCCTCTATTGCATGGTCCTGATGCTGCATGTTGATATTACATATGATTTTTTTTTTTCTCACCACTGTGCGTTTGCAGCGTCGTATCTGTATGTGTGTGTGTCACTTTGCATGGCTGGGGCATTTTGACTCATTCCTGAAGTTTGTCAACTCGACAATTCTAAAGCATCCTTTTTCTTTGTGGTGTTGTTTCAGGCCACCGAATGGCTTTCGAACACCATTGCTCATATCGCCAGTAGTGGACTTGGAAAAAAGATCAAATTGTTTTCTTGCTCTCTTCCCATCCCTTCCTTTCCCCTTTTCCTCCTCCCTCTGCCACTGCTCAGGTACGGTCATTTCTGTGTTGGAGAAACTGCTGTCTCAATCCACAGAGCAGGACAATCCCAGTCGGCTCGTCATTGAGGCAGCACACGGCAGTGCCAATAAAGTCAGAGAGTTGTTGCAGAAGTATCCTGATAAGGTGAGTTCTGGACTTTTACTTTTTGCATCATGTCAAGGGAAGATCTATGCTGGGTGAACCTTTATTCCCGCAGGCAAATCTTGATAGATTTTTTTTTTTGTTGACAATGTGGTCATGTACTCATGAATACTTATATATATTATAATAATCTAACAGTGAAGCCATTTTGGCTTTACGTCCTAATGTAGTCTTTGGAAAAGGCAGATTAAGAAATAAGAATCGGCAAAAAACATGAAGCCGCTCTGTCTGTATTGGAGAGAAAATTCAAGACTGTGTGAGAGACGTGCAAAGACCTGCTGCCAAAGTGGAATGCCTTCAATACCACCCACGCCCAGTAATGCCTTGACCCACGTCGCCCTGATGATGCAGATGGAGGGCGGGGCATGACTCACATGTGAGGGCAATCGCTCTGTTGGTGGTGATGAGCCCGCAGGAAGTATGCAGTGAAATACTCAAATTTGACGTGTGATCTGTCAATATGAGTCTCTCCCACTAAAAAATAAATAATCAATCAGGACTAGGATACAAATTACATCACAATAAATTAATAATTATCAAAGTGGTTAGATACTTAAATCCATGAATGACAAAAAAAAACAAAAAACCTCAAACGCGAAAGGGCTGCCACCCAAAAAGGCTTAATTTAGAACCCTGACGTATACATTTATGCATATGTACTGTAAACACTATTTGTATATTGTGGCGTATTTTTATATAAATTTTGCAATTCAATATCTGCACATAATGCTTCATTTATGCATATGTACTGTAAACACTATTTGTATATCGTGGCGTATTTATAATATAAATTTTGCAATTCAGTATCTGCACAAAATGCTTTACTGTCAGGAGTAATTTGTACAATTCAATTCAACCAGACGTTTTAATAGGACATTATACTGTAAGGAATCTCTAAAGACAATATTTTGTTTTTAAATAAGCCAAATGACATTGATCTGATTTTTGTATAGCAAAGTACTTCCTGTATAAGTGTGTATGATGATCCTATACGTATTTGAATCTGCCGATGACGACTATGATCCACCTATTGGGATTACACGCCACGTGTATGAGCAACGTGGTTGACAGTCATACTCAAGATTATTCCCAGACAGAGTTAATTCGTGCCTGCTTGCGCTCAGTCCACCTGCACTGAATCGTCAACTGCGCTTACACTCGTGGCAGGTGGACATCAAGAACCAGGGCAAAACTGCACTGCAGGTCGCTGCGCACCAAGGCCACATGGAGGTTGTGAAGGCCCTGCTGCAGGCCAACAGTGCCGTTGAAGTCAAAGATGAAGACGGAGACACCGCATTACACTACACGGCCTTCGGGTGAGGAGTCGGAACGCGGCTGTCTTTGTTGCTTTGCAAAGAGTCAGAATGCAATGATTGTCAAATTTGACAAAGGGATAATCCACTCAGAAGAGACTTTAAGGTGCCGAATCGGCCTGCTATCTCCTCTCCTCGGACTAACACGTGCTCACATGGGCTGCATCTCAAAGTCTCATCGGGGATTAACGCAATCGTTAAACACAGCTTTGTGAAGTCGGTTGCTGCTACACTTGTTAAAAAAAAAAAAAAAAAAAGACAATTTTTCCACACTAATCTGAATTGGATCCATCCTAAGTATTGTACTGATTCCATCTCTTTGTTTATATCCTTTCTAGTAACCAGGCAGAGATTGCACGGCTACTGTTAAGTAAAGGAGCAAACGCTAACATCTTGAACAACTCCATGTGTACGGCGCTCCACATTGCTGTCAACAAGGGCTTCACAGATGTCGTGCGCGTGCTCACTGAACATTCGGCTGATGTTAATCTCCAGGTGAGAGGGCTTTCCTTCATGCCGTGAGAATTCAGTCGTCATTTATTCTGCACACGGGTTTTGTTACTTTTGGAAGCAAATGAGGAAAATGCAGTTGATGTGCTATCCATTTCACAGAGTCGTTGTCATGGCCCACTGGAGCTGAGTTCATATCACTAGGGTGTTTTAAAGCACTCGTCAAATTTCACCAATATTTTGGTGTTGGACTGTGACCCTTCACTTCCACCCTATTAAAGTAATTGAGTGTCTCTTCTGAAGCTGCCTCAGAGCTCACTCACAGCATCTTCTTCTGCTTGACTTGCGTGGCCATTCAACTAAAAATGTGCCATTGCAGTCTTGCGTTTGCGCTTTCCGACAGCTCCAAGAATTCCAAATTTGATTTGAAACCCTAATTTAAATGTTATTTGTACAGCTTTAAGCAAAATGCTTTTTTTCACGGGGAAGAGTAAAACAGTTAATAATACTCAGATTCCACCAAACATTTTCGAAGGCTGGAGTACAGGCCAAGGAAGAATTTATAGAATTTTAGGTTTACAGCAATTTATTTTCACCATTCGATTCACAATGGTATCAAGCGGATGTGTCCACACAATCCATAATCATAATGGCATTGTTATAGCTACACAGGATCGTAAATGGCCATTACATTACATTTCTAACTTGTCATGATTGTCTGTTGTTATTTTATAGATTCAATAGTCCTGCTAACATTTAGCTTCATTGGCAAAAATGGTTTACTTTTATTTAACCCCCCCCCCCCCTCCCTCGCCAGGATTCCTATGGCGACACACCTCTGCACGATGCCATTGCTAAAGATTTCCGCAATATCATCGAGATTCTTGTTGCGGTGCCCAACATTGACTTCACTCAGCAGAACCACAGAGGATTCAACCTCTTGCACCATGCTGCTCTCAAAGGAAACAAACTGTGAGTCAAGTTCATTCTGTCATAGAGCGCTTGGGGTTTAAACGCCGTATACAGAACTGCCACATGTTGTGGTTTGTCCATATTTTGTTACTGGAATCATTCAATTCCGACTCGTTATGGTAACGCTGATTGTTCTGGATATTTCAAAAAAAATGCTGTGTGTGTGTGTGTGTGTGTGTGTGTGCGTGTGTGTGTGTGTGTGCGTGTGTGTGTGTGTGTTCAATCTGCATGAATTTTTCAATATTTGAGACATAGGTTGTTGTTGTTGTTTTGTAGACCTGAAGTTTGTCCCTTGAGAATATCCGTAGACGTCAATAAATTACTGCCACCTTTTCTACACTGTCAATCTGCACACAGCCACTCTGAAAACAAACTATACTAAAAAGCAGTACAGTCTTTGAAGCAGACATACAGGATGGCCTTTACCAGACCTATCTGTTGTGAGCGTACATCGTAATGATGATGCTCAAACGTTATATTGCTCTAAATGTTAAGCTGCCTTTTGTGAAAATCTCCTCGAAAAGAAATGCCTCTGAGGCATCTCAGAAATCATTTATTGCCTGTACAGCTTATCCTGCTCTGGCTACCAGGAATGTCCTTCATTATTACAGTGCAAACTTGAGTTTTCATCATTGCTCTGAAAAGAAAAAAAAAAACATGTCAGTTATTTGCCCTTTTTCTTCTTTCTCAGGACCTTTCCAGGGCCTCTTGTGAACTTACACCCCCCATTTCCTCAAAATAAATGCAGTGAAAACCCTCATAAACCAAACACTCTCACCGACCAAAGGGCTTCATTTTTATTGCTGGAAAGCCACTTTTATTGATTCACTTTACTTTTAAAGAAAAAGACAAAAGTCATACATTGATGGATATAGCTAAACAAGGGGACAAAAAAGAACAAATATGCAAGTGAAGGCACTATTACTTAAGACCAGAGACCAGTCCAAGAAAGCAGTCCCAAATCAATGCTGCAGAAATCAATTCACAGGAGTTGATGAATGTCGGACAGCACTGACCCCCCCAAAAAAAATCACTGCACACATGATGACACGCATCTAACATGACTCATACACTATTCTTTGTATATATTTCATCGGATGAAAAGGACGAATCCGTTGTTTTGATCACTTTAGACGAAATGACATCACGCACAGGACCACGAGACCCTGTCTAATGACACTCACGACATCCTCACGTCATGGTATCGTTTTACTCTCTATTATCCACCAAATTACATGAGAAACTCTTTTCGAATCTCAGATGGTAACCTCAACTGAAGTGGCTTCGCTTTAGTTTGGAGATGCATCGGGATGCTGGTGTTTTTCCAGTCTTGTTTTTGCCTTCATGGCAGCTCTTTAAAAAGAGCCGGGGATAATTTTCCACTGTGTGGTTTTGCTATCATTTGGAAGAAAAGTTCAAATGAGGTCATAAAAGCCCCGGAGCCAAAACCTCATCACGGTTAGGCGAACTTGGTGGACTGTGAAAAATACCAAGTCACAGATAATCAGGCAGGTCCTAAGACTTACTAGAATAAAATATTTCCCTGCAGGTATCGAAACGGTGGCTTTGAAGTGGCTGTTTTGAAGCAGTGTTACATGGCTGTTGTTGTTGGTTTTTTTTTTTGTTTTTTGAGTGAAGTCAGTCTGATAAAGTTACCTGTCTGTACCGTGATGAAACAATTCTGAAAATATATTTATCTATATATTATATCACATTATGGCAAGTCCATACATACACAATACTAAAAGTGCTGGTTTGAAAACACTCTATATTGCTGTTGAATGAGAAGTGTGTGTGTATGTGTGTGTGTGTGTGTCTCTCTCTCTCTCTCTCTCTCTCTCTCTCTCTCCCTCTCTCCCTCCGTTCTCAACTGTAGTGACAACTCGAAACTGTTTTCACAACTCGATAATGTCACGTGGCGACCTGCGGCACTGCAAGTAGCGTTACTATCCAAATGCAACATAGTATAGTTTTGTGCGTCCGCCAGTGTGTTTATACAGCGTCCACATGAGTAAAGACCGCTTTCTGATGAATGTTAGGCAAAATCTTTGCTTTCTTAGTAGTAGTTTATTGCTTGTTTTTATCCCTCTCAGGGAGCTGCCATTTTGCCACGTGGTGTGGACTAAAAATGACATCACAGATGCTCAGGAAACTGGCTTCCTGTTCATTTTAGGATTTAGTACAACATTCAAGTCACTTTTACCGAGCTTTCAAAGCTCAGTCTCCTCAACGCTAGTTTGCACTGGTGTCATTTGATTATTCTGTCGGGTCACTGGTCTAATGACTGTCTGTTATATACTCTCTTGTCGCACAAGATTGAACACTAAAAGTGATACCATGCAGTCTGCTGTGCCCAAATTGTAGACTGAATCTTTGCGCCACAAGCTGCTTCTTCTTTTGACGTTTAAAACTTAAAAACGGTTAAAACAACTTTTTAAGTTGAGTTCAGTTCCTGTATTAACTGTAAAATAGTTGCTCATGTGAAATGTAAATTTGGACAGTTTTACATGTATGATGTCTATGGTAGCGTGAAAGGTACACGCTGTAATTTTAAATGGATTTACTAGAACAATGTTTCAGTGCTGCGTAGCTAATTGTCAATCGATCCAAATCAGGTCAGTACATTCTGAGGCTTATTGGATGTCTTGACAGAGCCACGGAGAAGATTCTCGGCCGAGCACGACAGTTGGTGGACGTGAAGAAGGAGGACGGCTTTTCCGCCCTGCATCTGGCCTCCCTCAATAATCACCGGGATGTCGCTGAGATCCTCATTAAGGAGGTGAGTGTGTAACGTCATTTAATGGCACCGGAGATGTAATTGTGTTGTTCGGTGTACTTTCATGAGGCTTCTTAACACCCCCCCAACAGGGACGCTGTGACACCAACATCCGCAACAATCGCAACCAGACTCCGCTGCAGCTGGCGGTGTCGCAGGGCCACACCGATCTGATCCAGCTTCTGGTGGTCGAAGGCGCCGACGTGAACATGGAGGATGAGGATGGCGACACCGCCATGCATGTGGCTCTGCTGCGACCGCAGCTGGCCAATGTGATGCTCGGCAGCGGTGGCGGCAGCGGTGGCGGCAGCAGCACTGAGGAGAGCGGCGAGAGTTGCGCCTCCACGTCTCTCTACTCCAGGGTAAAGTGATGGGGGAGCAGAGTCAAGAGGCCATTTTGTTGTCAGAGGGGATGGGCGCTTTGTGACAAAAGCAATACAGTATGTCAGAAGAAAAGAGAATATATAGCTTTTGGGTTCAGAGGGTTTTAAGATTTACCCTAACGGAAGTTAAGTTGGAGCATTTAAAAATAAGCTAACATTTCGGCGCAAGCACGCGAGGGTGGTGCCCGTGACCGGCTACACGTGTGCCCACAAGTGCAGCGCAAAATATTGACACCTTCTCTGTTATGCCCTCTGTCTCTGATAGGTTGTTCTTCCTCAGGGAAGGTAGTTTTTATTTATTTATTTTTTAAACAAACAACCATGCAAACTCCCAGTGTAAGAAGCAACCTTCAATGTTGTACATTCCTGATTTCTCCCAGTTGATTCCAAAAATGGGCAGCTAATGTCCTTGTCTGAGTGTGCCTTAAATATTATCTGCGCATTATTTATTTCTGTCCATATACTAATTAGGGATGGGCGAATACCGATACCAGGTGTCGATTTCGGGCTGATACTGACGGTTTTCGTAGTATCAAGTTCTCCTCGTCGACGACTGACGATACAAGTCTCCCATACGTATGGCGCCCTCGTGTGGCCATATCACTACCAGGAAGTACCGGTAAATGGCATGCATGGTTGACGGACCGCTTTTTGCGTGAATTCAATTCAAGGATACAATTCAATTGTATCCTTGTCAATCCTCTCATATGCCCATTAAGTATACGCTACGGATGTTTATAAGGTTTATATTCATGCTTATGTTGCTCCCAAAATTTGTACGACCGGCTCCGGCCTTCCTGTGTGGAGTCTGCATGTTTTTCCCGTGCATGCGTGGGTTTTCTCCCGGTACTGCGGTTTCCTCTCACATTCCAGAAACATGCATGGCAGGCTGATTGAACACTCTAAATTGTCCTTGGGTGTGAGTGTTTGCGTGGATGGTTGTTCGTCTCGTTGTGCCCTGCGATTGGCTGGCAACCGGTTCAGGGTGTCCCCTGCCTACTGCCCGAAGACAGCTGGGATAGGCTCCAGCATGCCCCGTGACCCTTGTGAGGATAAAGCGGTTCACAAAATGGATGGATGGATTCCCAAAATTTTGCAACCTCTTCCAGTGGCATTGCAATCGTCTAGCGCAAGTAAACAGAGCAGAATGGTGGTTTATTCTTAACAGAGGCAGTAAAACCTTCGAAATCTAAAATCCGCTTCCTGGTATGTTTTGCATTCGGTATGTTAGAAATTAAAGTGGCACCGTCTACAAGATCTTGATCATAAAAAAGCAAGTATAAGCAGACTCGCGAAACTGATGAGCCACATGCCTGAAAATTGAATGTGGTTCTGTCACTATATTTAACCAAAATGGAGCTCTGAAGATTTCCTGTGGTTGAGTGCAGCAAGAAAAACATTGTCACATTGTGTCTCCATGGGGCAAGTTTTGATTCCTGATGTCGGGGACAGAAAGCACACCCAATCAATCTGTGACATCTCAAAGGAGCCTTGTGCTCTTCGATCCTCTGAGGCAATATTAGTCACTCGTGAGTTCTGTATGATGTGACTATTTTTTTTACATTTATTTTCAGTGCTGAAAAGAAATCCTTTTGATTGTGAAGAATTGGGCATTTTGGTTTTTGCTTTACGCTTGTGCTGCGCTGTAGCTTTAATGAGGTTTGCAGCGGTTCAAGGGGGGGCGGGGGGTGGCAGAGGAGTAATTATTGAAGGTCTCTGAATTGTCCTTGGGTTTGAATGCGAGCATGAACGGCTGGGCAGCCAGTTAAAGCTCGACTCCGCCTCTTGCCCAAAGCCAGCTGACAGGTCCCAGTTTTCCCCACGACCTTCATGACACGATAGAAAACAGACGGATGGATGCTTTGACAGCAGGCATCGTAATTAAGATAACCTTACTGCGAGCTTTGTGAGGCACATTCTAAACTTCCATCGACTTCCACATGAGTTCGTGTCGATGTCATTGTCGCAACGAAGAATGCCCTTTCCAGTCCACAGGACCGCAAACACTGCAGCATAGCTCAACATCTTGGGCACCTGCCAAAAATGACTCACACACAAGATACTAAACACTTCCAGTTTTGCTTTTCACGTTTAGTCTGTCGAGTGAATTCACAGTTACAAACGTTCTGAAAATGTGGAAACATTCAAGAAATATGTACTACTCAGTTGTGCAGGTAAAGTGTTCAGTAGCTTTTCACTAGTTCACTTTTTCGTTTATTGATTTTTTTTCAGTGGCTAAAATGGTGACTAGTGATGCACTGAAGAGTCTGGCATGAATCCACCCGCTCTGCCACTATAAAAGAACTTGGAATGCCTTCATTTGACTCAGGGGTTCTCTGGCCCAATTGTGATGCACTTGCTAAATTACGTACGCCCCGAAAATAGGTCTGCTCTTTTGGAGCGCCTCATTGTCAGCCAAGAGTGCATGCACATCATGGAGGGAAGACAGAACACTGAGATAAATAAATATTAAAAAAAAAAAAATCCGATATGGCAGCCAGTGTGTGGTAAGGGGCTTTAGACTAAAGCACCTCATTGTTGCAGCATTGAAAAGCCCGCAACAATCTTATATTCCTTTTTTTTTTTTTAATCATTCAAATTCAGCAGGTTAACAACTCCTCGGTTCGTCAAATTTAGAAGAAATGTATTTCCACTTTACAAGAATCATATTTTTAGTCAGAAAAGTTAAAAAACGTTGGACAATAAGCCTGGATCGTTCCTCTCTCGTCATGAGGTGTGTTTGTTTTCAGCAGACTGTTTTGTGAGGCTGTCATCCACCGTTTTGTCACAAGGGTGTCTTGTCTGTTCCTTAATTTTCTGCCCGCACTCTCTTGCCTTCATCACATGTGCCCGCAGCTCAATGCTTCGGGCCTCCTCGGGAATACTGAGCTCAGTGTTGGAGTGGCGATCGCCTGCTTCCTGGCGCAGGAAGGGGCTGACATCAGCTATGCCAACCACAAGGGGAAGACCCCCCTGGACCTGGTGGCGGACAGTGCCATGCAGCAGCTCATCAAAAGCTTCTCGGAGAAGTACAGGTGCTTGCCATGAAAATGACGCGACCCCGTGGTTCATGTACAGACTTAAAAGCTGCTGGCGTGGTCGTCTCTCAGATTGCAACGCCTGCAAGCCGTGACGTCTGGCCAGGGCCCGAGCGCTGCTAACCTTCGTCGGGTTCACACTACGCCAAACACCATGACCAATCTGGTTCTTCCTACGTTGCCGGGACCCAGCGAGTGCCTCATCTGCTCCGAACTGGCTCTGCTGGTTCTCTTCTGCCCCTGCCAGCACAGTGTGGCCTGTGAAGGTGCGTTCACGGCTTCTGTCATTGGAAGTTGGTGCAATCAGAGTGATATAAGTGACTTGCTTAATATTGGCTAATGACTGATGAGACCGTTGATTATGTTTGTCACATGGGATCGACTTCCTGCGATAAAAGGAAAAAAAAAAACAAGCGAGTCTGATAGATCAGTGTTTCCCAACCTCTATTGAGCCAAGGCATATATTTTATGTTCTCAGAGCACTCCATCAAATAAGAATGTCACAAAAAGTAAACAGTATAGTGTCATTGTTATTGCGTTATGTCGTGGAAAAAAAAAAAACATCAAGCAATCACCAAGCTTTTCTTTTCAGGTAAGATGTTTGCATATTGTATCGTTGCTTTAAATACAAGACAGCCAGCCAATGACAATTTTCAAGCAGTGTATAGAATGTCTCGTTGACATTCTCCTTGCTTTAACAGAGTGTGCCCATCGGATGAAGAAATGCATTAAATGCCAAGTCACAATCACCAAGAAAATTCGACAAGGTAAGACAAACTCCTTCCCTCTTCGATTTGTCTGTCAAGGTGCTTGATTTTTTCCATTCATTGTATGCTTTTTCACTTCTTGTACTCAGACCAAACCGAAGTGGACTGCAGCCCTGGGACGGAGAACTCGGAGCAGCACAACCTGTTGGAGCAGCTCCAGTCTCGCTACCGGCAGATGGAGGAGCGGATCACCTGCCCCATCTGTATCGACAACCAAATCAAACTGGTCTTCCAGTGCGGGCACGCCTCCTGCATCGACTGCAGCGCCGTGCTCAAAGCTTGCCCCATTTGCCGGCAGACCATCCGCGAACGCATCCAGTTGTTCGTCTGAGCCACAGAGCGAGGAGGAGAGGGCGCCTAGTATTTTGCAGCCTGCCGAGAGCGGCTCATTCATCATTCGTCCCACCGTCGTCGTCTACCGCCTTGCTACTAAGGCACATGGACTTATTTTGCACTGTGGAAAGAACCCCCCCCTCAGTAACCCGCTCATTTGTCTGACCGCCGCTGCTTTTATGTGGATGTTTGTTACCCATTGTCCTCTCTGGCTGGCTCGGCCTCTGTTCTGTTTACACGGCTGCACAGAATGAGTCCTCCCCCTACAGCCTGCCCTGTGAATTACGTTTGCTCTCATTTGGATCTGGGAAGAGTCATCAGTATTAGTCTCCGCAGTGGGCGCAAATATGTCGTTTCCCAACCACTCGCCTATATGCAAGGCTGGGGGGGTCGGGGGGGGGGGTTACACAGTATACAGTATATGCATGAGTGTATGCATATAGTAACACTAATGGGTCATTTGTTGTGGTTTATATTTCTTTGTAAAGTACAGATTTTTTTATTTATGTGTGAAAGGTGGTATTACTTCGTAATGTCTTGGGGTTTTTTTTTGTTTTGTTTTGTTTTTTTTTTTGGTGGTGTTTGCTTGGAGGGGCGTAAAAAGTGTTTTTGAGTCTACTGAAATACACCCCCAAGCCTATGTCCTCTTACTCAGGGTATCAAATCTTTCAAAAAGCACTTGGGATTATCCATAAAAGGTTCAAAGTCGCCGCTTCATATTGTGTCGCTGTCGGGAGCTGCCTCGGAATGGCAGACGTCATCGACCTGAAAAATGTGTCAGTCGTGAGTTGTGAGTGAAATGAATGTTTCTGCAACAAAATGGATGGACATGTCCCTCTTCAAAAAAAGTTAAAAAACAGCAGCAGCTCCCGACAAGCCCCGTCCACACTGTTTGTGTATTTACCGCCCACCAGGGTGCATCCACTGTGGTTATTGTGTGTTATCGCCACCAAGCAGGAGACTTCGTGTTTCGCTTTTGATTGACCCAATGTGTTGTAATATAGGAGAGCCGAAAGAAGACTGAGCTTGTTACGTCATTTACCTTTTCTGCTGGAGTCATTTCAGAAGAAAAGCCCATTTTCTTCTTTGGCGCTCTGGATTGTACTCTCCAGCTTCTTTCTGCTGTCTTGGTGTGTTTCTTGAAGGGCTTCTGTCTGTGAAAAAAAAAAAAGAAAAAAAAGAATCTTTGATTTAATTTTCATTTTATGTAATTTAACGTCCAGGGATGAGGAAGGTTTTGATTATTTGTTTGGCTTTATTGGACCCCCATTTTTGGGGGAGCAAGTGATTAAATTTGTACATTTTGAATGTCGAGGTAGGGATGACTTCAAAAAGTCAAAATTTCCGCTAATGTTATTTTGAAGTCCAAAATCAGGAGTGTCACAAGCGTGCTCAGTTACAGGAGTACACGGAAAGCTCACAGTGGGGAGCGCTTCCATACTCGTTTCCAGACCGGAAGCGGTCCCACATAATTTGCAGCGTTTTCCAAGAAGAAATTTAAGTTAACAATTGAGAGGAAGCTTTCTTATTTAATTTTTGGTTGATCGTTGAAGGGTGTGCAGGAAAATGCTATAAGGTTAAGAAGAAAACAAAATGGTGAAGATGATTTTATTAGTATTCTTTTTTTGTGTGTTCTAAACCTTCCCTCGACGGAGGTAGCTGTGACAAGCAGGAATCAATTGATGTATAAAAGAATATTAAAGCAGCAAATGTTATTTTTGGTGTTTGAAGAGAGTCTGGATGGTGTGGCTGAAAACTGGGAACAATGGAACAAGCAGAGTCATTACCGCAGACCTCCTGCCACTCCACATCCCCATCTACTGGTGGCTTGGAAGGCTGCGGGCATGTTCTGCCCCCTCTGCTGACTTGACATCATCGAGAGAATACTGATAGAAGAACTGCCACAAGCAATTAACTCTCAGGTAAGAAAATGACATCCCACGTAAGGTAAACACTTACTGTTCGTGAAGAACATATGAATGGTAATTGTTTCATTGTTTCAAATCCCGCATTTGTTTCATGTGACGACGATTGCGCAACGTAAAAATCATGCACAATTTGATATTCAATACAAGCACATGGTCAATATATTATTTATTGATTTACCTCGCTTGGTTTAGAACAGATCTCAATCAGGTCTGATGCAGAAGGTCTGCGCCATTGAAACTAAAACCCCCGATAATGAACACGTGCTAAAAATGAATACCTCACTTCCGGTGTCAATCAAAAGTTGAACATGAGGATAAGCTGTCGTCACGAACCTGTACTGTCTCTTATATCTTCCTTTCTTTCGATTGAAAGGTGGAGACTCTTCATCTGTTTCATCAAATGGAATTTTCCCATTTGGCATTTTGAAAAAAAGCGCTTGTGTGTGTGCTTTTTTTTTTTTAAACACTTTTTTTTTTTTGCTTTTTGTATTGTATTGCAACAAGTGCTCCTCAGCCAATTTTATCAATATGGGCTCTATTCTCCTGATTGGCACCAACCCAGCACGGCAAATGACGTAATTCTGCACAGAGGTGGGTTAGACCGAGTGTTGGTAATTTTGCAGATGCCTTCAACCTGGCACGTATAAAATTACGTTTGTATTTAGATGTTGTCCGAGCAGGAGCAACTTTCGACCGACTACCAAAATTGTCATTCCAACGTTTATCTCTTCAAGCACACACCCTTGTTGCGCTAGAACTCACTTTCACTAGCTTAGTGCAGACCGGTCTTCCAAATTGGCTTGTGGCTTGCCTGCATGAAATTCAGGATAGCTTTTTCTCCATACACAAAACTAGAGCTCTATGTGCAACTAGCCTGCCTAATTTATTTTTGGAGTGTGCTGAGGGAGGGAGGATGGAAGCCACCTTCCATGCACACAGAGCATTTTCATGAGTCCACTATTGTCATCATTATTACCATTTTTATCAGACATATTGTTGAATTGTGAGCCATGTTTTGCAACTTTTTACTTTCCTTCTCTGCATACCAATTTCTCCTTCTTTGGTCTTCACGTTTGGTCATTGGTGACGTTGTGTCACAGCATCACACGAATCAAACACCTACAAGGGAATAAGAAAACTCAAAACCCCGCTTGCGGAAGTAATCTCTTTGATGCTCCCAAAGCTGAGGTATTGAAAGATTTGCTGACGTCTTGCATGGCATAATGACAGGTACATTTTTTTGTCCACAGAGATACTGTGAGAGGTGAGCGTGTGCGTGTGTGTTTGTGTGTGTGTGTGTTGGGTTCCCTTCAACTGGAACTTATTAGAATATGCATGTGTACCTAATGCTGTGGTTGCTGAATACATAATTCCAGCATATGAAGACGCAACATGTCCTTATTGCATATCAATTTTGATCCACATTAAACAAACATTTGGTGAGATTTTTTTTGAAGGGGGGCGTGGGGGGGACGCTGCCTTTTTGAGCTCTGGATTGTACTCTCCAGCTTCTTTCTGCTGTCTTGGTGTGTTTCTTGAAGGGCTTCTGTCTGTGAAAAAAAAAAAAGAAAAAAAAGAATCTTTGATTTAATTTTCATTTTATGTAATTTAACGTCCAGGGATGAGGAAGGTTTTGATTATTTGTTTGGCTTTATTGGACCCCCATTTTTGGGGGAGCAAGTGATTAAATTTGTACATTTTGAATGTCGAGGTAGGGATGACTTCAAAAAGTCAAAATTTCCGCTAATGTTATTTTGAAGTCCAAAATCAGGAGTGTCACAAGCGTGCTCAGTTACAGGAGTACACGGAAAGCTCACAGTGGGGAGCGCTTCCATACTCGTTTCCAGACCGGAAGCGGTCTCACATCATTTGCAGCGTTTTCCAAGAACAAATTTAAGTTAACAATTGAAAGGAAGCTTTCTTATTTAATTTTTGGTTGATCGTTGAAGGGTGTGCAGGAAAATGCTATAAGGTTAAGAAGAAAACAAAATGGTGAAGATGATTTTATTAGTATTCTTTTTTTGTGTGTTCTAAACCTTCCCTCGACGGAGGTAGCTGTGACAAGCAGGAATCAATTGATGTATAAAAGAATATTAAAGCAGCAAATGTTATTTTTGGTGTTTGTACAGTTCAGCTCTCAGAGTTCTGATGTTGGCCTTACTGTCTCTTCCCTCTTTTGTTCATGTTTTCTCAGTTTCTGCACAATAATATTTTGCAATAAATATGGAGCACTTTTTTAAGGACATCCGGCCTCAGTGTGTGTGTGGGTGTGTGTGTGTGTGTGTGTGTGTGTGTGTGTGTGTGTGTGAGAGAGAGAGAGAGAACGAGAGATTTAAGAAATCAATGCGCTTCATGTTTTGCATTGTTTTTCATAAAACTTTCTGAAGTCATGCATAACAATAGAACATTATTAAAAATGACAGGAACATAAGATAGAAACGAGTGAAATAAAGATGAACTCTAAATAAAAATTATTTTAATTCGGGAATACACTTATTGCTCAAAGTGATGAAAACGTGATTGAACGTCAGGCTGCCACAGTTATCTCTCTAAAGAGAAAACAGTGCCATCTTGTGGTGGCGGTGGGAACGTCCACGATTAAAAAGAAGCCCTTTTTTTGCAAATGATAGGACACGCCAACATTTTAACCCAGTGGTCAAGAAATTATTCATATCATCGCTGTGGATTAGTGTTGCTACTGAAAATGTTCCGCCAAAACAAAATAATTTACATCCGCCTTCCTTTTTCAAGAGGTCGCCATGTGTTCTCGTGTGTGTGTGTGCGCGCGTGGCCGAAAGAGGGCACCATTGCCTTGTTACTCACTCGGACACCATAGCGACGTGATACTGTCACTCGGAAAGCCTGTTTAAATGTTTGCTGTTCACATGATGAAAGTTAAACTATAAACATGCCAATGTTATTTTATGTTTTCCATATTGTGACAGAGTACGTGTTACAATAACACACGCTTTTACAAAACCAGCACCGTAACTACTGCCTGCCTCTACAATCCAGAGAAATCATACTTTGACCGGCCGAGTCCAATCAGCAGCCTCTTTAATAGAACACAAGGTGAGTGATTAAAGGCCCCGTAAAGGGAATTCGGGTATTTGATTCTGAATACATTTTACATGCGTTAAGATCATTGCTGAAAAAACAGAGAACTACTTCGCTCTCAAGTGTCGATATGAGCATGATTGTGTTCCGCCCCTCCCCCACTATATAAGAACTTGAGCCCCTGCATTGTATCAGTACGATCAGTTAGCTAGCTAGCTATGCCCACACCCCAAAAAATGCATCTTTCTTTTTGATAGTCTGCTAGCGTGGCCGCTTAATAGCCCCTCAATGTCTGCCGCGAGAGCACACATCATCCTTAGAAAGGTGGAATAGCAAGGCACATTTTTTAAAATTAAGTCTTAACATGACAGCCACTTTGTGGACAGAGGCTTCCCACTGGTATGGCCACTTTAGAGTGCCTCATTATTGAGGTGTGGAAATGCCAAATATATTTTCACAGCATGAACATTTATTCATGCGTAGGTATAGGAAAAATGTTCGGGGAAACTAGCATCCATTTTCCAGGTCAAGTGGTATTTGATTGACAGTTGACAGGTGAGCAGGGGGAGATTTAAGGTTACTCATGCCATAAGAGGGACACGGGAATGGATTTTCACTCCCGTTCCATCCCATTCCCACAGAAAAAAAATCCCATCCTCTCCCCTCCCGAATCATGCTTAAAAAAAT